AAGACGGGAACAGAAGAAGAAGAAAGTCCAGACCGGAAGACGCATCAGCCATGACAGCACCACCACACACTCCGAGCCATTCTCGGAACGTATCAGCGGTGGACTCGTATGGCTACTCGCCCGCGGCGGAGCGCCGCCAGTCCCGCGGCTCACTGAATAACGAACCGCTGACGCCGTTGAGGCACAGCTTCAACAACCCCGACAGCACCATGGATATAAGTGCCTTTGCGAGCGGCGGTGGCGGCCTTGGCGAAGGCGGCGGCGGGATCGGGAACCTGGCTGACGAGCTGGCGGGCGCCTTTTCGGACGAGGACGAGGACGGCGAGTACTACGATAACGACGGCGCCGCCGCCGCAGGGGTGCCCAACCCAGACGGTTTGCAGGCGCCGCGCGACAGCGGGGTGGACGTGGACGGCCCAAAAGAAGGTGGCAGCCACACGCGCGACATGAGCCTAAGCATCCCGCAACCCAGCAGGGGCCACAGGAGAGCGGGAAGCGAGTACGACGGCAGCGAGTACGGGTCCGACTCCGACCTCGACTCGCCCGGCATGCCGCCCGGCCTGGTCGCCAAAATAGACGCCGTCGAGTCGCTGGCCAGGCGCGGTACCGAGACCACAGGCGGCGCGACCGATGGTGTCTTCCACAGGGTTACGGATAGCCTGCGAGATCTTGGCTCGCAGACTGGCGTTGAGCAGAGCACTACGAGGTAAGTGTTTGATCGTCTCCATTTCCGCATATTGAGTTTGTCGAGTTTATGCTAACAAAAAGTTTCTTTGATGACCAGGCTGATTACCGCACACACGGCAGTGACCACACACCTTCAGCACTCGGCGCGGCAGCTGCAAGGCCTGAGCTACTCGCTGTTTGCGCCCATGGCGCCGCCGCCCGACGCGGACGCGGTGGACGAGCTGCTTCCTGTGCTAGCGGCGCTGTCGGAGAGCATGCCGCGGCCGGCGACGTCAGCGCACGGGTCGCTGGCGGCGCTGCACGTGGCCACGGCGGATCTGGTGCAGACGCTCAACTACCTGTCAGACACGCTGGCCATGTCGCGTCAGACGACCAACACGGCGGCGCGCCGCCTCAAGGGCGCCAAGGAGGTGGTGGCCGAGATGCGCCGCGAGGAGGAGGAGCGCGAGGAGGGGGAGAGGTGGATAGCCAGGGGCGATTGGAGCGAGAAGCTGCGCAGGCGCGAGTGCGCTGCCGCTTGCAACGACGTTGTGGGCGGGTTCGAGGAGGTGTGCAACTCGTGGCGCGCCAGGATCCTGGCCCAGGCTGAGGCTGCTCCTGCTCCTGCCTGACCTTGTTTTACTTGACACCTTTCTTTTCTTGTTTAATCTTCATTTCTTCGCTCGGTCATGGGGACTCGTGTTCGCAAGCACCAGCGCTAGACGAGCTCCTGGTTGGGCGGTATCGAGTCGCCACGGGGCTCGCGCCTTTGAGCTGCACTTTGTTTCCCTCACTTTGTTTTTTCCCCTTTATATCAACATCACGGCCTGGCCGGGCAGCATGGATACATCTCGGTCTGGCTTGCACGAAGACTACGGACGGCGCTTATCGGAACCTGTTTTGTTTTTGTTTTCTGATTTTCTTTTGTTATCGTGTGTTGTGTTTTTCAACTCTAGAGAAAGACAAAACGCAACAATGTATATCCTTTCCTAACCATAGACTCGGGACCACGTCAGGCAGCTGCCTTCGGAGCTGAGGGCGGCACAATACGAAGCAAGAAAAAAAAGGAGCATCAAACGTGGCGTCGCCGGACGTCCCCTCCATCAGCCTTGTTCCCCACCATGGTGACAGCCTCAGCCTCGGGCGCCGGAATGACGCCCAGCTCGACGAGGCGGCCCCGGAGCTCGCGGTTGAGCGCGACCATGTCCCCGACGTAGGCCTCGCGCACCTCCTTGCGCGCCGGCCAGGACCCGGCCACGCGCGCCAGGGTGGCCGTGAACTCCTTGGTCAGGTCGGACCGGCGCGAGAAGAAGTCCTGACCCTCGTCGGCGGCGCCGTGCTCCTCAAGCTGCTCCGCGAATGACTTGTGCTCCTTGTCGAGGCTGTCGATCTCGGCGTCTAGCGCGGCGATCTTTTTTTTTTTTGGGACGGGGGAGATAATATGTTAGCATTCTATGATGTGTAGAGTGAGAATGTAGGGGGATCAAGGGCGTCGTTCGTACCACGGTGTTTCGGTGCTGCGGGAAAATCCACGCGTACAGCGCCAGCGCCGCGAGCAGGTCCCAGAGCCACATGGTCTTGGTTTTTGCGAGCACGATTGCGGGTGGGAGGAAGTGAAGTTGGTTTTGCGATTTGCGGCGTCTGTCTACGTTGGTTGGGTATGTTGACAAAGGTACTGTCCGAGTGAGAAAACCCGAGGTGCTGTGATTGCGGGCGATCTGTATGAAATAGTCCCGACCGACGCATCAATGATGTGCATCCATGCCATGCCATCCATGCCGCACCACGCCACGCCGCCGCTGGATGCGACCGCAATCCGTCCCGTTTCACAGCTTGGCGCTCGTGGGCGGAGGCTCGTCACAGCCACACACACACACACACACACTCATTGACGCTCCCGCAGTCTGGGCTCCATGTGGTTGGTGCCTGGCAGGAAGGATGCAGGCCCGCACACGCAGCCGCAGCAAGGTTGGTGGCCTCAAATCAGCTGCCAAGCCTCAGCTTGCCGTCGCCTTGCGTGCATGGGGAACATACAATACCTATTTTCTATCACGACTAGAGGGATGGTTTCTATTCGCGGTTGCGGCACCACCTGCCCCACAGTCATGTGCGTTGCGTAAACGGGAAGAATCACCCCTGAATTCGGGTTTCTTCCATGTCCAGGCGTTCCAGCTGTTCGGCCATTGGAGACGCCAACGTCTGGTATAAAAGCATAATGGTGTCGCCTCCATGGACGGCCAACTGGCCAGGGCGTCTTCGAACCCCTGTCTTCCAGTTTATTACGATTCCACTTCTCCTTCATCGGCTTGCGAGCCCTCCAGTGTCAGGCTGTCCCAACCCAGTGCTGGGGCCGTTCTGGCCCCAGGGCGGCTGGCACCATAGCATAGAATTCCTCGACCTGGTCAGGGAGGGCGCGCATGCCTTCCGTTTCCTCCAAGGCGGGGATAGATAGACGGGATCACCTCCTACCTCAATCCCGTGAGTAGATGCCTCTAATCGCCGGTCCGTCGGTTAGGGATAAAAAGCCACACGGAAGCGTCTCTAGTATCTCTCCGCTGGGAATCGTCCACGCCATGGGTTAGGGGTCTCAACTATGTGGAAACTGCACCAGGCCTGCCACTTTTACAACTGCGAGTGTTGTGCATATTACTGTCCTTAAAGGAACCGATGAGAACCTGGCAGCCCGCTGTTATGGCTATTTGATGCTAAAATGAAGGTGGTAACGTAGGTGACGGTCGGCTGACGAGGATCTGATATTAATATCAAACGGGGGCGAGCTGGACCCCGTGCCTCGCTCCTGCCTCCGCTGCTGCCTGACCCCAAGCCATCTGATATAAACGCCCCTCCGACTGCTGCAGTCATCGAACCCGGACACTTAAAGATCGTGCGCTTTGGTGTAATGGTTAACCGTAGCCGTTGAGCCCTAATTTAACAGATTTGGGAGCACGGGTTCGATCCCCCGTATGGGGTGCGGAAACACAACTTTCGGAGAAAACCACTAAAACGGTTTTCGCAACTGCTACACCCTCCGGGCGGTTTAATATAGGCTGGGCAGTGATACTTTTTTTTGCCTCTTGGTTGGGTATTTGCTTTTTGGGCACGTCGAGAAAAACCGACTCCGGGCCAGTGGCAGGCTGCGGCGTCCTATACCTGCCACGGCGCCTTGCCGACCTCGGAATACCCTGGGTTGTGCCGCGCTGCGCCTCCGCCTGCGCCGAGGCCATCAACAACGGCCACAGCGCCGAGGACCTCGCCAATATAAACTTCTCCTCCTTCGCTGGCATGGCCTGAACGTGGGACTGAAACCGTCGAGATCAAGGCCCAGCCCTCTGGGTCTGGTCGGCCTTCGTCCCATCAGAAATTACGCAAGAGGGTCGAGGAGCCAGTCTCGGCGACAGCACGATTGACGCTCCCAAGTACAATAGAAGATAGTAGGGAGGTAGGTGCACTAGCCAGCCAGTGCACGATATCAGATTCCAACTTGGAGGTCTCAAGCTACTCCTGATACGGAATAGAGGCGGGGAGGAAAAGGTTCCTTACAAGGCCGCCGTGCCCTGGGATAGCCAAAGGGGCGGGGATCCTGATTACCAACCCTTCGATCAGGGGCGCGACATTGAGAAGGGGCCACCTGGGGGGTGGCTGGGTCAAAAGACTCGCACTTTTCTTCGCGCGGGCTTGCCCATGGGATAGGACTGGTATCCAGTGATATCCCCCTGCTGGCCAATGGCGGCGGGACATTCTCCATGGAGGGAGTTGGTTCATGTCCAGTCCACCCCCTGTCTCGTGATCCCGAGTATTTTCGAGCAAAACTAAAGTCTGGCACGGTGGGCCTGCTCTGATATATTATCACAAGTAGGGGCACTTAACACAAGTACATTTTGTTTCTTCAACCGCGGCACTACAGAGTACACGGGGAACCTTCGACACTAAGAACCGGGACCCCTTGACCAAAATGCTTGGGTGATCCAACCCTTCCCAGAAATGCACCAAGATAGAAAAAGGAAAGCGCTCGAAGCAAGTATTCGTGGAAACGTTCACCAAAGACCAAAGAGCCAACAGGAAAAAAATTGCTAATCATACATGACACTGAGGACAAAGAAAAAAATACAGAGTGAAGCACTGCCAGTTTGCAGGCGCAATAACTCTAGCCAACCCTTACCGCCTCGGCGGCCCCGAGAACGAGGTCTGGATGGCGTTGCTCTCGACGGGGCTCGCCGTGTTGCGACCGCCCCTGCGGCCGGCGGGAGGTGGGCCGACGCGCGGGCTCCTGGACGACGGCGGCGGCGGCGACGCCGTAGCGGACCTCGCGGGCGGCGCGGCGGCAGGGGCGGGCCACCCCCACTGCTGCTGGGGCGACGCCGC